CTGCAGTGGAGCTGCAAGGCCGCCGGCGGCGGCCAAGACCGTTGGGGGCGGGGTGTGTGGCCTTATGACACTCTTCCGGTGATGTCAGGGGGTGCGGCAGATACTAATGAGTTATGCTAATGAGTCCTCCTAGCTTTTTTTCTACGAAACGACCCCTGAGTGTAACTAGTTTGGCTCGGGCAGGTCTGGTCAGCTCCACCAGCCCGGGGGGGAGGGGGGGGATGCTTTGTGTTTTCTTAGTGGGGCCTTGATCCTTGCTGGGGGCCTGGCTGTTTCTAGAAGCCGCCCGGTCTTGTGGCTGAGCAAAGAGCCGTGCTCTGCTTGCTGACCACATGCTTGGCTGTGCTGCCACTGCCCTCCCCCTTCACGCCCATCTCTTCTCAGGGACAGAGCTTTCTGAAAGACCAGCTCATGTAGCTGCGCTAGAGGTTTGGCTGCTTCTCCATGGGTCCCAGTGGCAGTGCCTGGCCACACATCTCCCCTGGCTGTGGCTGTCCCCTGCTCTTGTTCAGTGCTCTGTGCTATCACAGCAGTGTTGTTCCTGCCCCTTGTGCTGTGGATTGGAGAGGGGGTAAGAAAATGAGGAGGAGTGATTCAGCTGTAGATGCAGCAGAGGCCAAAGAACCAGAATGGATGGGAAGAGACTGGAAAATAGTCACCTCTGCTTTATTTCTAGGCTAAGAAATGTCAGTTCCCTTTTGTTCTGTAGCTTTTACTTCATTCGGTGCAGGCTTGACAAACTCTTTGCCACGATGGGCTTTACCGGTCATATAAATAAAAGCAGAGAATGTTTTGATTGTTCTGGGCTTTCTCTGTGTAGAGACCTGGTCTATCGGTTCTCATAAATGAGCAGTGCGGTTATCAGGGAGCAGAGTTCCACTCACTGAAGAACAGCACCTCTGATTTATCCTGTTGTACCTCTTAGCCATACAGGGAGCGGCTCACGAGTCTCCTGTCTGGAAGGCTGGACCAGAGCCCAGGGACGACGACTTCTACGGAAAGATGGAAAGCATGGTATCCGTTTATTACTCTTTCTTAGGCACATTGCCCAAGACTTGTGTGGAAGCTTCTCACCCTTCCCTGCCGATCCCTGCCTTAGCAAGGGCCTGTGTGGGGTGCCATTTTGGAATGTTTTGCTCGCATGTGGCGACAGCCAGAAATGTGAATGGCTTGGTGGGCGTGTGGCATTCTGAAGTCAGCTGTGTTGGGTGGCCACAGAGCAGTCTCTGATGTCAAACATGCCCGTGTATGTGTGGGCTGGGGTGTGGCTGGGCAGGTGTCGCACTGGGTGAGCACCTGGCTGGTGGTTTGCCAAGGCCCCCTTTGCTGGCCAGATAGCATGGGCTGGATATGTCTGAGCCACCTCGCCCTTTGGCGACTCACAGGACCTGCCAAATCAGATCCCTGCATACCCTTTGTACCCAACCTGTGGCTGAAGGCCCCGGCCCAGCCCTTCTCCTCTGTTAGGGAGCAGGCTGGGCTGCTTGTTCATTTGTGGGCTTTGTATCCAACCAGGGCTCGGGCCGACAATCCAGATCTGCCTCCCAGTCTTCAGGCCATGTGGTATGTCACAAAAAGATTTACTCCTGCTAAATCACTTCTACGTTTCCCTCTTGGAATGACTTTGCATCTCCATCTATTATTAGTTTTGTCCTGTCCCCTCCCTCTTCCTCTCCCCCACTGCTGAGGTGTTGGCATTACTTAGAAGCGTCATCTTTCAGAGCTGAGCGTGACTTTGTTGCTTGCAATCACAGGGCTTTGGGCGCCGATCTCGGACTACCTCGGAATCCTCTGTGCATTCCATAGGGCAAGAGAAACCGAATTCCTTGGCACAGCAGCCCTCTCTGCCCCGACTGCCGATCCCTGAAGAGAAGGAAACCAGAAAAGAGCCAGCACCTCAGAAGGTAACTCGGTCTTTTCTGTCTTCTGAACTTAGCCAGTGACTTTGGAGGACCAGCCTGTGCCTCCACTTCCTCCCCAGCTTGCTTACCTGAATGGTGCAGGTTTTGGAGCATAGCCTGTGGAGTGTGCAGGTATTATGGCCAGGTGCCTCGGGGCCTCCTCACACTGCGTCTCTGCAGTGTCCCACAGGAGAAATCCTGGACAGCCTCACCATACCTGTCTTGGCAGCTAGCTGCTCCTCTCTGTTTCCAGGCAGCTGCCTTACATGGATCACTGCTAGACCACACGTGTCCAGAAGGCTTTCAAGGCAGCTTGTGACACCCATTTGAAACTGTATCGAACAATTGGAATTGTCTGTTGGTTTCCAAGTTTACAAGTTAAAATGTTCTCTGCTTTGGGTGTATTCCTGTGTCTGGCAGGGTTGGCCTCTTTACTCTGCTTCCTTGAAACACTGTTCTTACACATGCACATAGTATAAAAATGTCATTTCTCCCTCCCAGTGGATGCCAATGCAGACTTCCTGTCAGGTTTCCCTCCTTCATCAGCCGTGTAACAGAAATCCTCTTCTCCATCCTACTGTGGCCTTGACCTGCTTGTTGGCCAAGGTCTGCAGAGCCCCTCGGTGTCACTCCTGTCCTATTCTGGGGGCCTTAACAGCAAACCGATGGGCTTGTTTGTGTCCCCGATCACTGACCAAGCTCTGTGTCACCTCGGAGTGCCTTGTGTCTGGGGAACGCTAAAGAGCAGCTAAAGAAATCCCCTGTGGGTTTAAGATAGGATTGTAAGCCTTGCACCTACTTCTTACTTGTGTAGCAGGTACTAGTTCAGAATAAATCTGAGTGATTTAAATCGTGTCATTGTGTTTAGAGAGGAACGTGGCTTGACTGGCTAATGAGGAAAGGCAAGAATGAAGCTCACCTTCCTGATGATAAGAACAAGTCGGTAAGTGGTCAGAACCATCATTCACGACACCTGAATCTGTGGTGTACAACAAGGTTGACAGCAGAGGGAGGACATATGCATCTGTTCCTTTAGCTCACAGTCAGGGCGATGTGCGTGTACGTACTCAGCAATTAGCATGTGGAGTTTTAACTAACATGATCAGCTAGATCAATGAGGCTTGGGGGGTCGCCTGTGGCTCTTTGACATAATACCCTTGGCTCTTCTGACCACTTTCCTTCAGTCTGGCGCTTGCCCCATATTTCAGGAAAGTGGGGCTTGTGATTCTCACCGTAGAGCAGCCACCAAAAGAGGAGTGGCAAATAAAATGGCAAGCGTCCCTGAGGGACGTGCCTCATGCCAGGGATGGAAGGAAGTGTGGCTGTTCTGCACGATGGCAGTTGTGATTAGGGGCTCTCCATGAGTGGTGGAGTGAGCACTGCTGAACTAGATGCGGAGTCCAGAGCCTTTTCCAAGCAGTCAAGTTCTTGCACTGCCTCCTTGGTTTTCCTTGTAAAAACAGAACTTTTTTTATATAGATTGTTTGGGATGAGAAGAAACAGCGATGGGTCAACTTGGATGAACCAGAAGAAGAGGTAAATGGTCTGCCAGACTCAGGCTTGCGTTGTTGATTTATGTCATTTATAATTTGCTTTTTCCACTTGGACTCAAGGTGGATTTCAACTAGGGACGGGCATGAACTGGCTGATGAACTAAAGTTTGTCGTGAATTTTGGCTGGTTTGTGAAGTGATGTTCACAAACTGAAGTGAAGAGCCGCCATGGACTTTCACAACTTTTGATGCCGTTCGTGTCGGTTCATGGAGGTTCGCGAAGAGCAGAAAACGGGGTGAAATGCCTCCCAGCCATTTCACCCCCTGCTTTTTGTTCACTGCCTAAAGCCTTTTTCACGGGGAGCAGAAAGCAGTGGTTTCAATGGCTCTGAGCCATTGAAACCCCTGCTTTCTGTTCTCTGTCACTTTTTGCTGTAAAATATTGAAGTCTCTGCCTGTTGCTGAGGAAGCCAGGAGTGCCACTGATCCACCAAGCATGAATCCCCTACCTTCCAGCACTGTTCTCTGCTTCTGTCCTTCCTCCATGGAGCTTTCTGTGCCAATGCAATCCCATATTCCCAAGTTCAGGAAGTCCTCTTTGGATAATGTCTGTTAAAAGCCCTTTTTTGTTGAACAGCTAAAGGAAGCATGATGTTGGATCCCCAAGCATCGAGAATAAATCCACGTTTTCAAGAAAAGCAAAATTTATTTCAAAGCGTTGAAGACATACTCAAACACGTTCTTTGTTAGAACTGGGGATACACAGTTAGGTCAAGCATAATAAAGGAAATTCAAACAGATACAGATCCAATGAATAGCATTCCCGCTGGCGGGCTAATGAAACGGTTGCGCGCCCAGTCCATGGGAACCAGGCAGAACATCAGACAAAACACAGGTGCAGTACTCATGAGAAAAGCAATAGGCAAGCATTACAGCATCTTCTCCCCCACACAACCTCCAGCAGTTATCTTGTGCATTCCAACGCAGGAGCAGGATGATAGAAAATAAGCCGGGTGCAACAGGGAAAGGATATGTACACAGAGGTCACAGAAAACAGAATGGCAGCTTGCTGAAGCATGACTAGGAACTCTGCCCCAATTGAGTGGGTTTCAGTTCAGTAGAATTTCCTGGGTGGAAGGGCAGGGAGCCTGTTTGTCTTCTAACACAGGAGCAGATCCATGGAAGTCCCCTTCTGATTTATGCCCAGTATAACTAGAAGCCCAACTTGCCTTGGATCAACCAGGGCAAGCAGGTGTGTTAACAAAGGCACAGGACAGAAGCCCACAGTCACAAAGGTGGATGTTCCTTCAAGGGCTAACCTTCTTTTCTTGCAGAGCAAGCCACCGCCTCCGCCTCCCACAGGCTTCCCTAAAGCTCCCCAGGCGGGTCCCTCTGGACAAGGAGGTCCTCCCAGTGGCCCTGTCAACATGTTCTCCAGGAGAGCAGGTAGCCCCGCCCGCACCCCCACCCCCGCTGCAGAGCTGTGAGTTTTATTGTGAACTGTAGAGCTGAAGTCAGCTTGATGTTCTGGTCTTCCTGGTTAGTGGTGGTATCTGTTCATGACTTATATGTTTAGACAGCAAATTGAAATATGTGCGTTTACCAAACTTAAACATATTTTACTTCTTTAACAACATCCAGTGGCTTTGCTGTCCGCAACTCAAATTGTGACTGTATCCAGTACAGCAAAGGAAGAGCAGCAAACCGCTGCACTCTGCCACCTCAGCACATCTGTCTTAGGTTTTGCTGTTTGAGAGAGGTTGATAAGATTGAAAATTTAAAATGCAATTTTTGCAGTAAAGAAAAGAAACTTTGCTGTTCTGTCGGAAAAAGTCTTGCACATAATTTTGTCCTTGTGTGGGACAAAACTAGTCCCATTTAAACAATAAACATCTCTGAAAATATGTAGTGTATGTCCACAGTATACATAGGAATTTTCATTGTTTAATGTTGTAGATTGTTACATTAAAAAAATCTTACTGTGCATTTTGAGCAAGAGCGTGGTTTGCATTTCACACATTCCAAATTAGGAAATATTTTCAGAGCTCTCTAAGTTTTTGTTGGAGTTTTTTTTTTTGCCGGGGTGGTGTCTCTGTGTTCTAAATTTCTCCCCCCACCCCAGACTGCCATATCATTGTGTTAGTTAGCTTGTAGATTGTTGTACCCCAGTGAGGAAGAGAGGTAGGCTTTGGACAGGGGACCTAAATCCATAGCCTTGAACTAGTCCTTATCCAGTTTAATTTTCATAGCTGGAACTTCCTGTGCCCTGACCTGGATAGCCCAGTCTAGCCCAATCTTATCAGACCTTGGAAGCTAAGCAGGGTTGGCCCTGGTCAGTATTTGGATGGGAGACCACCAAGGAAGTCCAGGGTTGCGACACAGAGGCAGGCGGTGGCAGACCACCTTTGTTCATCTCCTGTCTTAAACTCTGTGGGGTCACCAAAATTTGGATGTGAGGAACCTCCTGTACAGGGGCAAGTATGAAAAAGCTGGAACTGGCGAGAGTGACATGGCTATGCCTCTTGGTCCTGTGCACAGAATTCCACCCCTTTCTGTTGGCATTAGAATACTGGAAGAGGTGTTAAGTTGTTCTGCTACTGCATCCACTGTGTGTGCAGCCCACACTCGCCACGTGCTTTTCTCCCTGGGCACTGTGGAGCAGCCAGGTGTTGCTTCAGGCCTCCATTGGTCAGGGCTTGCTGCTTCTTGCCCCCCCCCCGGTCCCCCAGGCCTGAGCTTGTTGCTGTCTGAATGAGGCCTTGGCCATAACCTGTCTGTCTCCTTTGCTTTACAGCAGGAAACAGAGGGCGCTACGTTGACATCTTAAACCCAAGTGGAGCCAAGCCATCTGGTGCTGTCCCTGCACCATCTGACCTTTTTGCTCCCCTGGCCCCAATGCCTATTCCAGCAAATGTGTTTGTACCAAACTCTGGTGAGTAGTGCCCGGGGAAGGAGGTCAGGATCAAGGCTGGCCTCCATGTCGCCCCCTCTTTGTAGGCCTTCCCTGACTTGTATCTTGGGCTCTGTTCTCTCATCCCCACCCAACTGCCTCCCTTCTAAAAATGCTTGAATCACATTGTCTGTGCTTTCTGGAGGAAGGGTGGGGTACATACGTGATGTTTAGATAAAGGGCTCTGTGGTGTGATGTTTGGAGAGGCTGATTTGCTATCAGAATTCATTTATTTAGTTTGTTAAAAGGTGGGTGGTCTCTAATCTTGACCCTTTGAACAGCAATGTAAATATCTTTTTTCCCTCCAAAATTGTGTGTTAGAGGATTCTAAAAGACTGTGGCTTGCTGGCAAATCAGTCTCTTCTAATGGCAGAGAAGGTTTCTCTTTGGGCCAGCATCCATGCCCAAAGGCCTGTTTGGCTCACACAGAGACTGCTTGATCTCAGGCTTGTTTTCTGTCTGCTCACCTTGGCTTCAGCAATGCAAGGCTTGATCTTCTTCGTGGTCTCTGTGCTTCACACCAATGGGTTTAGTGCGCCTGCGCTGACCCAACCGGTGCCGTAGCAAGTTTTGTTTGCTAAACATGTGGTCTCTTCATGCAGCTCTGGAGGAGCAGCAGCCTTTGGAAGGCCAGAGGGCTGAAGAGCAGACCGCGTCAGGGAACCAGACCACGCCAGAAATGGGCGACGAACGTCCTGTAAGTTGGGGGTGGTAAATGTTCCACATGAATGGAGGTGGAAGATTTTGCTGGGTGGCAGCGCTGGGAGAATCCTTTAATCCCCGAGAAGATACGAGAGATCCTGGACTTGTGCCCTGACTGGACTTCTCTATAGCAGAGGCATTTGTGTTGTCACTTTAGCTAAAGATCTTTTTAAGCCCGCTGTTTTGCACCTGTGTTTTTTTTACCTGTATGACCAATAGGGTGATCATTTCTTTCCCTGTAGTACTTAAATTCTGCAGTCCTGCCACCTGGCTCTGAGCTCCCTTCATCCAATCCAGATGGCTCCCAGTGTGGAGAGGTAGGTCTGACTTGCTAAGTGGGTATTTGGGGCAGCTGGTGTCATATCTCAAGCCTTTCATTACACCTGCTTAATCCTTGTGGCCCAAAACAGGGACTGGAAAGAGCATAAGAAGGAAAATGTAACTTTGTCTTCAAGATCAGAACCGGTTAAGCACCCAGGCTTAGTCTAAGTGTAAACGGGAACCTTCTTCTTGAGTAGAACTTTCTACGATCTATGAAAGTGTCCCTTCCAGGCAAAGGCACCCAGTAGCTTGCTGTTTCTTTTAAATGAGAAGGTTTCCTTTGTGCATGCATTTGACTTGCTTCATGCGAAATGCCAGGAACATGCTAAATTGTACCATGCTGCAGTCACCAAGATTACATAGGCACTCTCTCTAGTGGCATCGTCAGCATATGTTCTATAATGCCAAGTGTCCTATTTTGATGCGAGCTAACCTCCATTTTGTAATGTGGATAATTTAAACAATTGGTGCTGGGAGATTTACATTCCCCCTTTTTTAAGAACTAGGATAAGTGAAAGCTTGAGGCAGTGGCCTGCATGGTGACTTTTTGATTCCCTTTTTTGTATGTTATGTTTTTTTGCTGTTTTGTAGCTTTCGCGCTCTAGTTCAATGAGTTCATTATCACGTGAAGTAAGCCAGCATTTTAATCAGGTACCTTTGGCTGGCCATTTGCACTGGCTGTCCTTTGTGTTCTGTTCTTCTCCTCCTCACCCACCGCTCTTTTTGTTTTACATTTTCTCAGTATTTTCACTAATGCTTCAAAGCACCTTCTCCCCTGAAAGTATGAATGGCTTCTTCTGAGAATGGCATGGATGAAACTGCCATTTACTCTGGGAGCTGCTACTTCATCTTGTTCAGTAACCGTCTCAGAAACACCATTTAGAATCTGACTGTATTGGGCCAGATTGCCTTGGAGTTGCTTGCCCAAAGAAGTAGTGCCGGGGCAGGGGGGCAGTCTCGTTTAGTCTTCCTAGAGCCAGGGGGGAGGCAAAAAGGACTGGTTCCACTTCGCAGGGGGAGGGGAGGTGCTGCAGGACAGTACAGTTTCACATGCTGGGAGCTCAGTTTCTCTGCCTGAGGGAAAGATTCGTTCTAGTCCCCATAACAGGGGAATTGACTATATTTATTTTGGCCAAAATACTTATGTATTTAAATACTTATAGGCAACGTGTTGATTAAAATCCTCCAGGCATTTAATTAAGAACTGCTGCTTCTCTTGGGATTCGATCCACTGGACCCTCAACATCCTGGGAATCCTCCCAGAGGAAATGCCCTCTTACTCGCCGCAGTGAAGTTGTGAGGGCTGGTCTGTGTTGCCTTTTGGCATCTGATGCTGGTTCTCCTCTCCGCTTCATGCCGTGGCGCCCCCCGCACCAGACCGCCTGTTCTGCCTGCACTTCCAGGCAGCTTGCCAATGAAAACTCTTCCAGCTGTCTCTGTGGGGCTGCTGGAGCAGTGAAAGCCTCCCTGAGTACCTCAGAGCGAGTGGGAGTTGACTTGTTTCAGCTGTGGGGTGGGGTGTTGAGGGCACTGAGCTTTCTCCAGGCCTCATCAAAAGGAAACAAGTGCTTCATCTTAGTAGGTTTGTCTTTTGGGGACTCCTGTGGTGATACTGAGAGGCATAGCCGTGCTTTGTTCTTACTCTGGGCATGAGGCTTACTGGCAGCCAGTTGGTGCAACTCCAGCCAGCTCGCTCTTGGTGGGTATGCCTAGGGTGTCTTCAACTCCCCCCACCCCCATGCACTGTTGCAGGTTTTTGCATGGGCCTTCCTTTCACCCCAGACCCTGTGGTGGTGTTGGTCACATGAAAGCTTCCCAGATACTGGGAACACCAGGATGTTTCTTTATGTCTTTGTATCCATGTGAACTGTCTGCTGCTCTGTACCTAGTTGGGGTAACAGTGTTGTTGTGGACTCATTTCTTTTGGTCAGCTGTACAGAATAAGCTTGGTGTAGAGCATTGCGTACTCAGTCTGCATCTCACTAATGGAAAGTTGTTTGCTCTCCTAGCCACCTTTGGAAGGACACCCAGCGGGAACAGTCCAGTTCTACAACCCTGCTCAGTTTGCACAGGTAATGATCCTTGTGGTATTCATCCTCACAACTCTGTAAAGGTACCGGTCATCCCTCCCTGTGGAGGGATAGGAGGGATGTCAAAAGCTAAACCAGGATTGTCTCCAAAATCCATGTCCCCCTTCAGTTAGAATTCTTTAAACTTACCTCCAGATAGTACACCCCAGAATGATTAAACAAGATAAATCCTCATCACAGTACCGTCTGGTGGAAAAACTGTGGCAATGTCGGAAATTATATTCACTGCTGGTGGGAATGCCCAGTGATCAAGCAATTTTGGAGGGAAGCGATTGATGGGATAAATGACATTGCATCACAATCACTTCCATAATGTCCAGCGTTATTGCTCCTTAATTTGAGAGAAGCCGCTGATGGGATAGATACCCAAAAAGAAACGACTGCTATTCTTCTTGCTACGGCTAGGCTGACAATTGCAACTAAGTGGAAGTCTCCCACCCCTCCAAGTCTAACACTATGGCATGAGAAAATCTGGGACCAGTTCGTAATGGATAAAATTACTAATGTAATACAACAAGCTTCTGCAGGCATAAACCTTTTATCATCTAAGTTTATTAATACGTGGGCAAGGGTACGCCAGGATTCACTTCTGATTGTTCTTCTGCACTGACCTGCTGTTAGGACCGTCTTATTTGACAGAGCATAAAAGATTTTTTGTTTTACTCATCAGTTTTTTCAATATCAATTTTTTGCCTTAGCAGTTTTTACTCCTCATCTTAAACTATTGCCATTATTATACAGTTAAGATTTTAACTAAACTTGTGGGTTTCTTAGTTCAGGTTATATGGCTTAGCAGGTTGTTGTTAATGATTATAAGTTTGATATTTTAATGAACTTGCAATGTAAAACATTCTGTGTGGATTCTTGTTATCAAGTGTATTTGGGATGTACAAGCCATTCCATGCTGGCTTGGGGAGAATATAACACAGAATATGCTTGTGTCTCTATTCAGAGGAGAGTGTTTCCCCCCTGTTGTGTTGGTAAAGATTAGATCCAGCCAAGGTGTTTGAATTTAACAGGACTGTTTTGCTTTTTCAGACTGCCGCAGTTCCAGGAAGCTCAAGACTGGGTAGCAGAACTGGACAGAGAAAATACCCCATTTTAAAATAGCCTACAGCAAATTACTGCTTCATGCATGGATTTTTGAAGAATGACTCAAGATCCCATGGCACATAGAATCCATTCTCAATAGTGAGAGGATGATCAGTTTGTCTGCTTAGATAAATTACCAAACGTACCTGTTGTTCAGAAGCCAGGTAAAATACTCTTGGGGACTAGAGAGGGACAAACCAACAGGCCCGTAAGGACCACATTCGGTTTCTTAGAAGAATGGAAGGCGCAGGGGTGTTCCCTTCCCTTCAGCTTCCTTGACTGGGATTTGGAGACTGCTCTTCAGTAGTTCGTTAAGTAATTTTTAAAAGTCTTACCCCATGTTGTAGGGAATACATATATCTCCTTTTAACACTGCAGTTTGTGGCCTTACAGGGACTGGGGCACAATTTTTATACATATAAACCAGCAGTTGGGTTTATTTACTTACCCAAAGCATTAGGACATTTGGCTGAGATTTTTTTCCCCCCTCACACATCGACTCCTTTTCCCTTTGGAGGGAGGCATAGCTCATCCAAATAAACAGAGACATATAATGAATGAAAACAACAAAACTGTGATTTGTAATCTAAGAGTTAATTGGAAGTGGATTTTCCTCGCGTACGTCTGTAGTTTGTGTTTAGGCACCTTGTTAAGCCAACTGTCTAGTCTGAAACAGCAGCTCTTTGTACAGTAGGCATTGCTGTCCTCTCGGATGAGTCCTCTTGAAGTGCAATATGGCTCCTTCTCTCTCTCTTGAACTCTGGAAAACTCAGCAGGAAGCGGCAACAGCTGGAAAACTTTCTTTTTAAACTGTAGCATGGGAGTCTGGTTTTCTGCTCTTCTGCTTCAAACTTCTTCCATTATCACAGTGACTGAGGTCTTAATTAGCTAACAGTTGCACCTTTACTAAATTTTAAGTGGCTTTAGAATTCAGCAAGCCTCACCAGTGATAGAACTGAAAGTCCTTTTGGTTTTATGCGGGAAGTCCCTGAAATCTTCGCATCTGCATAAAAAATGTGACGAGACTAAATAGCTATGCATTTGGTCAAGGTTGCTCTGGAAGCCACTGCATTCAGATACCAATAATGCTGATGGACAGAATGTTATGGAGGGGTTATTGATGCTGACCCTTTGTGAGTTAATCCCATGCATTTGGGATCTAGAAAGCCTTAAGTGTGTTATGAAGGGACTGTGTTCAGAAGGAATGAGTAACAATCCACTGGTCCTGCCAGTGTGGCAGCAGCCTGCCACCCGAGCCCTTCTCAGATACATCTTTCCCCTTCTACAGAACATGATATTTTTTCTGATCTCTGTCTTTTCTGTGTAGACGGCCAAACGTCTTTCGAGAAACTTCTTTGGAGCAAAGAGCCACTGTCTTTCCTAAATGTTAGATTGACATTGTACATTCTTAAATAAAATATTTTGCGCTCTGAAGCACCTGTGATTATTGGGGTTGCCAGCTCTGTGCAGAAACATCAGGCTGGAGGATTCTGGGTAGTCAAAGAAATGTGAAAAGGGGCAAGGTGAACAGAGACTATGAGTTTCATGTATCTTGTTTCATTGTGTCTTATTACTTTAACCGTTAAATGTGGAGCTACCGTAATGGATGTAAAGGCATCATCATGTTCCCTTCTCCCTTCATCCCAACTTCTGCCTCCAAACATCTCAGCAAGATGGCATGATCCACACATCAGATGTGTGAAACCAGACTCCAGGGTTCTAGAGCCAGATGCATTACCCAGGAAGACTTGGAGCTGTTCTCTGCAACTGCTCTATCATCTTACCTACAAAGGGCAAACTAGAGATTGGGTGATCCAACCCACAACAAAATTAGCTGTGAAATTCCTAGCCTAATCAGATCTTCTAACTGTACTAGTAGATGGAAAGGGGGGAAAACATTTCCATTCCTACCTGTCCACTTCAGTCATCTCTGGAGGCCTTGCTGTGGGTGCCCCTGCTATCTAATGTTGAGTTATTTGATGTTTGACTGGATTGAGTTTTCTACCCTCCTCTGAAGGGGGGGGGGCAGCAAAAAGAAAATAGGACCCTCCCAAATTAATCCCCCCCCCCATATTTAATGGTCTGCTTCTGGCCCAAGGACTACCATATGTAGATCATTCTGGGCTGCTGCTTTTTGTGTATTTTATCCTGTTATTCCCTGGCTTGTTTTAGTAGTGGCCTATTTGTTTCCTTAATTAATCTTTTCTAGTGGTTTTGTTATCTTAGCTATTTTGTTGTTGTTGTTGTTCAGTCGCACAGTCGAGTCCGACTCTTTGCGCCCCCATGGACCAGCTCCCGCCAGGCCCTCCGGTCTTCCGCCGTCCTCTGAAGTTTGCCCAACCATCTCATCCTTTGCCGTCCCCGTCTTCTTTGGCCTTCAATCTAAACTGCCTCAAGCAGGTTTCTGGACAGGTGGCATATAAAGTTTCTAAAAAAAATAAGGAGAGGAAGGATGGGCACAAAAAAAATAAGTAAAATATAACAGCAGCTGCTTTCAAAGTATGTGGGGGAAAGGAAGAAAAGAGGTTCCTGTGCACTGAAATCCCAATGACAAAGAAAAGGAATACAAAACGCGAGGAGATCTTACAGTGCTCGAGTTGGAAGGGGAAATGCCATTGGGGGGCGGGAAAACAGGGAAGGGAGGAGGAACAAAGG